ATTTTGCATGGGAGACCTATTTCGTATCTTTCATGGTGGAGGACCTATTTTGTATCTTGAAGGGGGGGGACCTATTTTGTATCTTTATCACATGACCTTGTTGTTATCTTCAGACGTTTTCCAGAGGCTATTGAATGCCCCTCAGTGACTGCAATGATACCGGAGTCGATGCTTCCAGTGGACCCAGACTCGGTGACTACTATTGGCAAGCGCGGCTCGGCTTGTAGTAAGAAGAGTCTTGTCACGAGAGTCTTTAGGATTACTGTGGATAATAGGTAATGTATTGGGTTGGGAAAATCTATAAGTTTTTCGTTGTTCTCGTCGCAGATGAATTTAAGGAGTAGACGTCTTGATCAAGTAACGTATAGTGGTATAGCTGAACGTAATTGCATATCACTCCATAGTAGAATTTCAGCTTCACAAATTTGGCAATTTTTAGTATCAATTTACATTTATATATCTGTCTTGGTGATTTCATAGTGTTGGTACCACTAGACGTGGTTGAATTATTGTACGACGCTTTGTATGTGTTGTGGTGGAAACATCGTGTTAGCTGCTGTTCATGGGCAACTGTAGGGAAGGTGGCTTTCAATTCAGATCGGACGAGACCTTTGCTGCCGACGGGGAGTGGTTTGATAGTGGCAATTGGGCTCCTGGGAATAGGTGCAAGGTAAAAGGAGGCTTGCTTCGCTCCGCTAGGATTTTGGATATTTTTGTTGTATTTTTAGCATATTGCTGCACATGCTGAGACTACTATCGAGTTCAACAATATGGGGGATACTGTCAGCGGGGTGTCGGGACTGGCTTGGCTTGTTAGCGAAGAAAGTCAGGATAAATACCTAAGGTGGGTATGGTGTAGGGTTGTCTTGGAGAAGGTCCTTGGTTCAATTCTTGCATGTTGCATTTTAGTTTCATATTTTCCAATCCTCTGGCGGGTGAAGGCATATTCGAGGCGTGGGCAGGAGCACCACCATACGACTTGAAGTCCGAGTGGGATAATGCTACTCAAAGTAAGAAGGCTGAATTGGCGAAGGAGTGGTACGGGGTGAATATGGGACAATCGTTCTCGGGCGTGGGTAAAATCGTTGGGTCG